GGTAAAAGATTTCTTCACTTTTCATGGGAAAATTTCTTTGCCCTAACCCCTCCAAAAATCTATGAAGATCTGGTTTGTATGTTCTACGCAAATATCTGTTCTGGCTACTCTGCTCTATTTAAAAACTCGTGGCCTGATGATTTTGAAGTGTCTTTTGAACAAGCCAAATAATGTCTTGTTGATTCCCTGTCTGATCCTCTGCCAGATCAATTAGGACCTGGTGACATTAATTTTGAACCCCGTATTCTTGCCCATATTGTTGCCACCACAATTTTTCCCAGAACAGGTTTCTACACCACACTATCTCAAAGGGACACCTTTTTGGTCTACTATCTTCTCACCAAGCACAAAGTGAAACACTCCTCCTGGGTAATAAATTTTATGATTGAATGTGCTGAAGATCCTTCGAGTCTACCCTACATGATGGTCATCACTCACCTCCTCGAGGTCTTTAATATACCCCTCTCAAACTATCCCTATATATTTGTTTCCAAGTGTTATAACAATAGGGCGTTTATTAGCATGCGATATGTTGTTGTGGATGATACTTGGATAAAGAAGCAGGAAATTGAAGCCAAAGTGATTCCCTCCAGTTCCAAGGTAAAGGTTGATACTTCTCAGACTGCTGTCAACAATCCGGAGTTACTTGAAAAGATAGATGCACTTGATGACAAGCTGACTACCGTTAAAGAGTAATTCCTGGCCACCCAGACCTCAGTTGGAGACATCTATGTAGTTGCAAAGGAAACAAGATCTGACGTGTCCAAGCTAAGAGTCATGGTGCTGAAAATCACAGAAAATGCAGTGAAAGCTTTCAAAGAAGTTCATGATCGTGTTGATGGAATCTCAGTCACAATGAACGCAAGCTTTGATCACCTCAAATAAGCTATCTGCAACACCCTTACCTATTTCCTCTGTTGATGATCTGTGTTGGTTGTTTAGATAATTTCTTTAGGTCTCTCTGGATAATTTTTTTTGCTTGCATGTTTTATCTACTAGTAGTTATACTTGCTTAACCCTCTTTTTGATTGATGCCAAAGGTGGAGAATAGAGTATCACTAACTTGCAGGGCGTGGTTCAGTCGACTAACTGAACAAAAGTCAACTATTGTTCAACTATTGGGCATCTGAATAAGGGGGATTCGACTCAAAGTACCCGACAACAAGCTTAGGGGGAGCCTACTAAAGCCACGGAAAAGGAGTCTATAAACAGGAAAGTAAAATGAATTAAGTTTTTTGTCATTGTCACATCCCGAACCTGGGCCTGGACGTAACACGACACCCGGTGCCTGACTACATGTGACCGAGCGAACCAACTGGCTGGCTGAATCAACATGTGATATCATAACATACTGAATGCGAAAGATAAACTTACACATTTTGATATACTGAAAGTTTAAATGATATAAATCAAAGTGCGAAAATACTAATACAATTATGAAACATATTTGTAGCCAACATAGCTTAACATGAAAAGCATGCTACTTTGTCTAATTGTTACTCTAGTCTATGAAGCCTCTAATGAAGTATTGAAAACACTGACTGTCTAAAAATACTGAAGACTGTAAGGTAATGATAATGCCCTAAAAGAACTGGGGCTTACCAAATAGCTGGTACGAGAATCCTAGTACTCTTAATCGTCAACCTATAAATCATTACATACATCGTGAGATGCAGTCCCCGGGCAAAAAGGAACGTTAGTACATTTGAATTGCACTAGTATGTAAAGCAATTGAAAGAAAGAAATAAAAATGTCAAAACTGATACTAAGCTGATAACTGAGAATTGATAATTGATAACTGAAATGATAACTGTTGAAACTTAAACTGAAATGATAATTGATAATTGATAACTGATAACTGATAACTGAAATGATAACTGATAACTGATAACTGAAATGATTACTGATAACTGAACTGAACAAAGAAAGTAAGGATAAGAATAATCCCACTTCTGAATGAAAAACAACCTGTTTATCTGAATAAATAAACTGCGGCCTCAGGACCAATATATATGTACACAAACTGCAGCCTCGGGTCCAAATATACATATACATAATTGCGGCCTCAGGCCCAAAGATGCATAAAGCATAAACTGTGGCCTCAGGCCCAAACATGCATAAAGCATAAACTGCAGCCTCAGGCCCAAACATGCATAAAGCATAAACTGCAGCCTCGGGCCCAAAACCAGATATTCAACATTCAGGGATTTAAAAATAGGAACTGAGAATCGTACTGTAATACATGATACTGAAATATTGAACCATACTAAGTTACATGATACTTGAATGCTAAATAGAACTGGACCGAGACATGTATTCATGAACTGGTTATGAAAACTGAAACTTCAACTGTGTATGACATGCTGAGTAATCTAGACTGAGACTCATGTGCATCAAACACAAGTCTATATTGATTACGCACTGAGCTCACAACATTCATAATGAAAGTCATGAATGAATTACGAAGCTAGAGAATAGAAGTTCTATAACTATTCAAGGCACTAAGCTTAGCTATATTTCAGAGGCAATTAGTAACGTTGTAAAATAAACGTAGTGTAGGGAGAATCATTAACATTCCCAAACATAGAGAGTTAGCCTCACATACCTTAACTTCCTGCTCTTGAGCTTAATACAATATTCGCTAACCTTTTCAACTTTAATCTATATCAATACAAGTCAAAGGGATTCCATATTAGCAATAATACTCATGTTTTGGTCACTTAGATATTTTATCAAACACTTGATGGATATAAAGCTTCATAGTCCTTATTAATGGTGTTTCTACACCCAACAACCTATTCTCTTGCTCCTAGAAAATTCTAAAATCTTCAATTGCTATAATCAATACCATTCTTCATCACCTATAAGATAAATAACACCCTTAATCAATAATCAACATCAACAATCCAAACCTATAATCGTCCATGCTTTTCTATCAAAATCATCAACCCATATCTCATGAACTTGTAGTCTATAATCATTAATCTAATGCTATAATCAATTAGAGGGTGAAGATATTACCTTCTTAACGTTCAATCCTCTTGAATCCGAGTTATAAGGTTTCTTCTCTCAACAATGATGTCCCGATCAAATATCTAATGATTTGAAGGGTTATCCATGTTAATAAGGTATTGGGTAATTAAAATTAACTTAGAATCATTATTAAAACTTACCTTGGATGATAAAGAGACCATGGAGGAAGTTGGTTCTTGAGAGCTTCCCTTTTTAGAGCAAGTTTTTGTGTTTTGGGGTGTGGGGGACGAAGTAGGGCTTTTAAAACGGCTTCCCGGGTGTGCCCCCATGCAGCTGAACGCCCAACCGCGCACCTGAATGTGCAGTAGGGCAGCAGCACTGCCACAAGTACGCGGCCGCGCACGGGACCATCTAGGCGCACATACTGCGCATTATCTAGTAAAACGCGCATAACATTTTGATCAAAAATCCGTTCGCGATCCACAAAATATTGTTGAAAATCTATTTCAAAGGGCTACAACTTTCCTATTTTACGTTTTCCCAAATTCCCAACGTAATTCCACGAAATCCTTCTAGAAGACAGACCTTCCATAAACTTCATCGATTTTATCGAATCTTATGCACCTCACTTTCCGTCTTGATTCCAAAACAGCTATTTTTACCCATACTCATCCCGATAGGACTTTATATGTCTAAGATGTCACATTAATACTCATTTAGCACGTCCATACCTAGTCCGAATTTACGGAGTGTTACAGTCATCATCAAAAAGGGGGAGATTATTAGATATATATTTTAATGATAGACAATAACTTAATTCTAATTGCTGGAAGTCAATCCCAAAGAAGGAAGTCACAAGAATTGGAAAAATTCTAACAGAAAATCTGAAAGCACGATTCAAGGAGTCAAACGTGCGAGTCAAGATCCAGAAGCAAGAATCAAGGAGTAAATATGTTGTGATTGCGAGTTTCATGAAAAACAGATATTCGATTCAGCTATTTACGGAAGGCATCAATCAATCGGTATAGAAGAACAATCAATCAGTATAGAAGATCTATAGAGAATATTCAATCACGCATCATAAAGAATATTCAATCTCAACGGCTTGCATAGAAAAGGAAATCAAGGAAGCAACGAAAAGAAGTTCCGTTCTATTCTTGGAAGAAAATCATCTTGATTGATTCTGAGAATCAACTCGCTTGGGTTGCCTTTCAGCCATGGAACTATCACGCTGTGAAGAATGGAGACCAACTCTCATATATATATACACTACAGAAGACGCAAATGAAGGATATACTTTGATCGAACCAGTATCAATCTCTTTGTTCTAATTCAAACAAACATTGTAGTCTGCTATAGATTTACTGTGTAACTAGGGAGAGAAGAAAGAGAGAAAAATCACTGGTGAAGCATTGTATCAAGAAGAGAGGAAAGAACAAAGTGACGAAGTTGTTGGTGTATAACAATACCAACCCATCTGTACTAAGTAACTTTCTACTTGAAAGAGAACACCCTTGCAACTCAAGGGTTTCTGAATCTGAATCAGTATAAAACATCCTGCGTCATTTACTTTCTATAATTTATTTTCCTGTATTTAGTTTACATCTCATATCAAAAAGTCCAGTTGACTAGAACGCAAATTAGTCGACTACCTCATAAAAGAAAAGAAAAATTACAATTCATCCACTCTCTTGCACTTTCCGTATGAATTTGAATTAGTCAGAAGTGAGATCCGAATACCATAAGGTTATACCAAAAAATTCTTTTACAGTGAACGTGTGTACAAGGTAAACTCTGAAAATAATGGTTAATAAGGTTTTCGAAAAAAAAGAGTTGACTAGTTAGTACTCGCAACATCCTGTCTTCAATAAATTAACTTTTACTATATCTATTCGTTGTTAATATACCACTGTATTATTTTTCTAGAAACCCACGTGGCTTGTAACATTTACCGAACTCATTCTGAAATATCTTTATATATAGCCAAAGGTGTTGAAACTTCTTTAATAAATTGAGAAGATTTCAGAAACCCCCATTACATATATAGCTTATTAATTAAACGAGCTGAAAAGAAATCACATCACAGAAAGATGTTGCTTTTGGTAGTACTTCTTTTGACTCTTTCTCAAGTGATCAGTGCAAAATTTTTATTAGTCAACACGACTATACTTCACAATGCTGTTGAAAAGGGAGCCGGTAAGAATTCAATTCAGTAATCAAATTTGATTTTTGTAAAGAAAAATAAAACTAATACTAATATTATTTTACTCTTTTGTACTGTAACAATGTCAGTCTGTATGGAAGTGCTCCTGCATACCTGCTTGATAGGGGAACTGGCTATGGAGTTAACAATTAACTTGTTCGCATTGAGGTTGGAGTTATTTTTTTTTTGGGGGGGGAGATTTAAATTATATATACATATCGTCAGTAGCGGATCCAAGATTTTAGGTTCGTGGATGCTTAACTTTTCTTAACGTACAGTTACTATCAATCACATAGTATAAGTGCATAACTATTTGAACATGACGGTAAAAAAAAGTTAATAAAAAGACTCGTATTAATATTATAAACGCGTGCAACAAAAAATGCAACTTGCGGGAATATTTTTAATGAATTTTGCCACTCTAGAGGAACTATTTGTTTTTAGAAGGGTCGAACTTTGGAGTTTCTTTCTTTCTTTGTTATAGAGAATTACTAAATAAAATACAAAAGAAAAAACTTTATTAAAAAAGGGGAAGGTAAAATAAAATTTAGGGAAAAAATAGTCTGGGATGGAAATAAATAAAGTAATAGTATTGAATAAAAAAATGTAGCTACTTGATAAAAATTTAAAAAAGAAACCTAAATGGGATAAAGGAAGAAAGTAAAATTAAACCTGTTATGAGTGGGTTTAAACTCCCAACCCCTCACACTACTAAAGCAATCACTATCCTTGCTTGACCAAAGCCCCCGTCAGCCTTTTTGTTATTTGGGTGCTTCCTGGCTTAATATATCAAACGTCTCAAATTTTTTATAAAACTAATACAGGTTATGTGATAAGATTAATGGGTGCTGAAGCACCCAAATTTAATATGCAGATCCGCCCATGCATATCGTGTAAAGCTTGCACGCTATTCTTGTATTTTTACCTGATATAGTCGGTCAACTATCATTTCTATCAGGTTATCAATATTTGGGCGGGGATGGTGTCCTACGACCTCAGAGTGCATCTCACATGCTGCTTCCGTGTTGGGATCATCAATACCCATGGATGATCAATATTCTTTTAAGGGAATATAAAGCAACAAGCCTAACGAAAATCCAGGTAGTTATTAGGTTACATGCATTTTTTTTCTTTTATTTTTTTTAAAGTTGAAATATATATTTTGTTGAACTCCTAACTAATAAAAATGCAATTGCCAAAATTTTCAGACTTTTTAAAATGGAATAGAGTAAAGTTTAACTATTGGGATGAGTCATCTTTTACCGGTAATATTGAAGAAGTTGACCCAGTAAGAGAGAATATTTTTTCATATTAGAGCTAGAAAATATGTATTTTACTAAATTTTCTTTGTTGAAAATGACAATTTTTTTTATTAACTAAGTAGGTTACAGCCTATAGGACTCCACTTCAGAGGGGCAAGAGTTTTCCTTGCCATCATGGAGGATTTATTATACAAAGGAATGTGGAAAGCTGAAAATGTACGTATTTCCTCTTTGTTCAATAATCTTACTTGTCTCTAGCTTAGTGGGTGAAATAGATTTGTTTGGAAATAGAGCTCTTTTAGCGCAAATGAGTGGAACTTTAGCAGGAGGATTAGCTTCAATATTACATTGCGACAAGTTTAGAAGCTTTTTCTCCGCTGGTGCTAGACTAAAATGCATTTCCAATGATGGTTTCTTTTTAAATATGTTAGTTTTATTCATGAAACAAATGAACTTCGTCTTTTGTTATGTATAATATTCTTATTACTGATTCTTAACATTGTGATTTTATGCAGAAAAACTATTTTGGGTGAACCACATATTGAAGAGTTATATAAAAAAGTTGTTGCATTGCACGTAAGATGCATCGTTTGATTTCTAATTTCTCTTATTCCATTTATATCTAATTTNATATATATATATATATATGTACTCCCCCTTTATTTATTTTTACTTGTCCAGTATTGTAAAAATAAATTTTCACATTTACTTGTCACGTTTAGCATATTAAGAGAAAATAATTTTTTTTCATGTTATACCCACAGTATTAATTACTCATTTCAAATCATTTTCTCAAATTCATTAAAAATATGAATCAATTAATACGGGTATCAAGGTAAATTATGCATTTCATTTATTATTTCTTAAGGGATGTGTAAAATCCATAGTGGACAAGTAAAAGTGAACGGAGAAGTATATTTCTCGTCTCTCTTTTGGGGTTTAATTAGGGATCAACAAAGAACCTTCCACGATCTTGCACCAGTTCCTACTTAGACCCAAGTTTGGTAAGATGGAGCAATTTGTTTGTGGAATAAAATTGGCCTGTTCAATTCAGCAGAAAGACAAATATAATGTATTAACAATCTAAATTCTGAAATGATACATTGGAAGAAACCAACGTCACTAAATGATGCTTATTGTTTTTTAATTTATTTATCGTAAATGCATGATGTTTCTTACTAATACACAAAATGATGATTTTGGCAGTTCTTCTTCCCTGAATATGTAATACAACATATTTGGACACCACTTTTCGTTATTAATTCGGCCTATGACTCTTGGCAGGTTAGAAATATATATTCGTGTTATTAGTATTTATTTGTTATAACCAAATTGTTTTTATTTCTTTTATTTCCCTTAGGATTAATTATAAATGGATTTGCCTTTTGATTGATCTTTAAATATATAGATAAACAACAGTTTGGTTCCAGACATATTGCAAGAAAGACATAAGTGTATGCTCACCAAGTCAAATGCAAACTCTCCAATGTATATACCAAATTGATATATTTCTCTTTTAACCTTATTCATGTGATAAAATAATAAGAGGGTGAGAATTATTAATCCTCTCTTAATTTAATTATAATTCT